CACAGCGTGTGGAGTGGATTTCAGGTTTGTGCAAGCACTGTCTGGATGATTTCAGGCAGACTGATTCCACGCTGAGATCATGCCATCTTGGATTAAAAAGTAGGATTCACACTCTGGTTTCATTTTTATTTTGCTAAGGTAACCACTAGAAAATGCCAATGCGCATGTGCACCCTCTAACTATTCCTAGTGGAGGGGGCTTGTCTGGAACACTGACAATGCCTCCATTTGCAGAGAGAGGAAGAGAAGGGCGTCCATACCACTAGTAACAATCGGAGGCTACTTTGGGGCTCTCCTAACCACTTCCCCAGAACTTTGAATTATGGGAACTAAAACTCTCTTCTGGAGGTTGAGGGGGAAGATGACTGTTTATATAATGGTTCAAAAGTAAGATATGCAACAACCTTAAAAGGCTAGATTAGAGCTGGGTGTGGTAATGCACCCCTGTAATCCCAGCACTTGGGAAGTATAAACAAAAGAACCTCAAAATTCAAGGTCATCTCCTCAGGTTTGAAATCAGTTTGAGTTATGTGAGACCCTATTATCTCCAAAACAAACAAACAAAGAAAACATTACATCGCTGTAGCATAAATTCCAGTGCACACTGCTTTTCAGTCTAAGAAAGGGAATAGGACCAGAACATTCTAGAACAAATTTATATAATTTAAAAAGCTGTTATTGTCACAGGGGCATGAGTGCTGGAGAACATTTTAAAAGGCTAACAAGAAAGTGGGTTTGGAAAGATGGACAGTGGGTCAGGAGCAGGGTACACAAGCATGAGTTTGGATCACTAGTACCCCCAGGTTTGATGGTAATGTAACCCTGATACTGGGGATCAGAAACAAATGGGTACTGGGGCTCACTGGCCAGCTAGCCTTGTCTAACCAGAAAGTCCCAGATTCAGTGAGAGACACTGCCTCAAATCATCATCATCATCATCATCATCATCATCATCACCATCATCATCATCATCATCATAGTGGAGAAACAATTGAGAAAGACATTTTAATGTCAGCCTCTAATTACCAAATGTTTTCAAACTAAGAGTGTATCACACACACACACACACACACACACACACACACACACACACGTATACACACAGCTCTATCTGGGGAGCAGATGTCTGTCAAGACTCCCTGACACAATTGAGCAAAAGATCCCAACATATTACGTTGACCATGGAATTTACTGTCTAAGCCAAGCCCCTACTGATAGCAAAACAGGCATTAGTGATCACTGTGCTGGGAGATAGCGAAGCAAACCAGAGCATGTGGTCTTGTTCTCAAATTCCTAATTCCTTTCACTGCAGCCTTCTGATTGTGTCAAATGTGCCTGAGGTAGGTCTTATATTTTTAAATGCAGTAACACTGAAAGTCAAGGTGTTTCTTATGACTCAAGTGGAATTGAACATTGGGATCTCTTTTTCTCCAAAGTCTGTTTTTAATGTAGCAATACACCCAGTAAACAATGACACCTTATAATCATGGCTGGGAATAACCTACCTTCCCATGAGTTATGGCCTGATCATAGGACTCCATTACTCTGAGTTACGAAGCCAAGACTGGGTTCTGAGTCTTTCAGAACAATGTCATGCTCTGGGAATGAGGTGGATTTCATCCTGCCTTGTGGAGCTAGCTGTACTTGAGAAGCTGAATCTAGGGGATATGCTTCAGTGTCTCGTGGGTACCAACAGGGCCCCCCTGTTGGAAACTCAAAAGGCAGTGAGTAAAATGGGCATTCTGGCTTAGGTCTGATGAATGAGACACTTGCACAGAGATGCAGCAGGAGTTTGAGTTTGAACGAGATGTGTATTTGCCAGCTGGTCCCAGATTCAGTAAAAAAAGGAAAAGTAAAATGAGGTCTTTAAGACTGATCAGGGGTTGGAGAGATGGCTCAGAGGTTAAGAGCACTGGCTGTTCTTCCAGAGGTCCTGTGTTCAATTCCCAACAACCACATGGTGGCTCACAACCATCTATAATGAGATCTGGTGCCTTCTTCTGGTGTGCAAGCATACATGTAGGCAGAACACTGTATACATAATAAATAAATCTAAAAGAAAGTTTAAAAAAAAAGACTGATCAGGGGCCAGGCACATACCTTTAATTCTAGTACCTGGGAGGCAGAGGCAGGAGGATCTCTGAGTTTGAGGACAGCCTGGCCTACATAGTGAATCTCAGAATAGCTAGGATTATACAGAGAAATCTTGTCTGGAAAAACAAACAAACAAGTGAAAAGCAAAAAGACCCAGTGGGAGTGGGAGACCCACACATCTGTCCAGGTGGCCAGCTTCAAGGAGAAAATGCAGGCCCGTCTGGTGCCACAAGAGCCCTATAACAATGAGCAACTATATGGTGGAACATGGGAGAAAGCCAGACAATGGTTCCTATCTTGTGGAGAGAGACAGATCTGAAGAGGTGAAGTGGTGAGGAGTGGGCTGAGGTAGGCAGCTTCCTTGCTACCCAGGGCTATGGTGATGTTCATGTCTGGGTTACTGCCAAGTCCCATGTCGGGTCTGTGGTCCTGCTTCAGCCACTGTCTGTGTTGATGTCCATGGTTCCTGTTACCATTGGTAGGATAGGGCTGCACAGATTTGTCCCCCTCTTCACTGACTGTAACACTAGGGAGAATTGGTTCTGCCCCTCTCCAGCTACAGCACTCAGGAGTGATGTGGGATGTCCTTCTGGATATGTGTTGCTTCTATTGGTTGATGAATAAAGCTGTTCCAGCCAATGGTTTAGCTGAGTAAAGCCAGGCAGGAAATCAGAACAGAGATAGAGAAAGCAGATGGAATCAGAGAGATGCCATGTAACTGCCAAAGGAGAAAGACACCAGAACCTTACCTAGTAAGCCACAGCCTTATGCTGATACACAGATTAATAGAAATGGGTTAATTTAAGATGTAAGAGTTAGTTATTAAGAAGCCTGAGCTAATAGGTCAAGCAGTGTTGTAATTAGTAGTAGTTTCTATGTGATTATTTGGGTCTGGAAAACCAGGAAATGAACAAGCAGTATCCATTTACACAGGAGAGCAGGCCCTTCACCTCACCTGGGTGGCACAGTAGAGTTGACCCGGTTGTCGGGGTAGGGGTAAGAATGTGATTATGGGAGAATTGGTCCCATCCGCCTCATCTGCCATAGTGGGTGAGGGAGAGATGCCGTGTGTGTGTGTGTGTGTGTGTGTGTGTGTGTGTGTGTGTGTATTACTGTGGCAAATGGGAGAGCTGGCTCTGAGGTCATGAGAGCAAGACATCCGTTCTTTCCCTTTACCAGCTACAGCACTCAGGAGAGCCGGCCCTGCACCTTGCCTGGGCAACACAGTAGAGCTGGTGTGGGTGAGCCTGCCCTGAGGGCATGAAAGCAGGAGAACCATACCCCTTGCTCCTTGCTGTTTAGGGTGAACTAACCAGGGCAGTGTTGGAGAGCTCACCCTAGTGGTGAGGATAGGGGAGAGCTGGTGGCCTGAACAACCCTGCAACCACCTAGTCCCAGAACCAGGGCTATGAGTTGGCTCACCCCAATATCCACCCGATCTGTGATCTGCTGGAGCACATGCATGGGCTGGTCCTGCAGATCCAAAGCTGCAGGGTCTCCACGACACAGGGCAACAACAAAATAACTAAGAGGAGTCCCAGTCAGAGCCCAGAGTCAATAGTACAGCAGAAACCAGAGACCTCAAAACAAACCAATGACGTCAATGAACACTTGTAAGTCACAATGTGCGGACAAAGGTGTACTGTGTTACTGAGTCACACTACAGCTTCCATGGGGACATTTTCTTTCTTTCTTTTTTCTTTTTCTTTTCTCTTACATTTTACTTTATTTTATTTTGTGGAAGAGGGGAAGTTGCAAGAGCAGAGAGCGGATACAAAGGGATGGGAAGATTAATGGAATTGAGATGCATGATGTGAAAGTCAAAAAGAATAAATAAAAATTTAAAAAATAAAGTAGTGAATCAATTGAGAAATACTGGCCCTTGGTCTCCACATGTGTCTGACTGGGGAATGCATAACACACGTGTGTGTGGTGAAAGGAGACAGCTGTCTCCCACAAGTCGTCCCCTGCTTTCACGCATACTGTGGCACATGTGCCTGTGCATGCTTTTGCGTGCGTGCATGCGCACGTGCGCGCACACACACGTACACTAGCAAAGCACACACAGTCAGAGAAAAGATCTTTGTTACAGCTAATGTAGCTGCAACTCAGAGAGTAGAGCTGAGACAAGAGGTAAGAGGTACAGTTGGCAAAGAAGGCGTGAGACAGACTGATGAGGGCTGAGTGTTGAGCATTGCAGACACTGGGGCAAAGGTATGTGACAGTAACTGTGGCTTCTGTTACCACTGAAAGCACAGAGTTGGCCCCGCCCCCACTGGCTGCAGCACTGGCCCCGCCCCTCACTGGCTGCAGCACTGGCCCCGCCCCTCACTGGCTGCAGCACTGGCCCTGCCCCTCATTGGCTGCAGCACTCTGCTCATGTGACTCATGAAGGGTTAGGAGCATGAGGGCATGGAACTGAAACACTAGCATGTTAAAAAATACTACAATTTCTTAGTAAAAATGCCATAATATGTAATTCAACAAAACAAATAATAGCAACATAATATGTGTGTTAGGGTTTTCATTGCTGTGAAAAGACACTATGACCATGGCAACTGTTATAAAGCAAACATTTAACTGGGGTGGCTTGCTTAGAGTTTCAGAGGTTCAGCCCATTATCATCATGATGGGGAGCACGGCAGTGTGCAGGCAGATGTGGTGCTGGAGCTGAGAGTGAGTGCTACATCTTATAAGCAAGAGGAAATCAACTGAGCCACTGGGCAATATCCTGAGCATAGAAAACCTCAAAGCCTGCTCCCACAGTGACACACCTCCTGCTATAAAGCCATGCCCACTCCAACAAAGCCACGCCTCCTAGTAGTGCCACTCCCTGTGAAATTATGGGGGCCAAGTATTCAAAGTACCATAATATGTAAAATGATAAAGTCTCTGGAAGTAACTTACTTATTTTGTCCAATTGTCTCAAAATCTTTGACAACAATCACAAGGGAAGACGAAGAGTCCAGTGGTATCCCCTTCAAGTCAAATTCCAAAATCTGTTCACAGAAAGGTTATGAAAACAAAAAGGCCATTAAACAGAATATAAGCTATACTGGGCAGTAATCTTCACTAACAATCTTTTGAGTTACTAAGTTCTATAGTTCGGGTGGTGAAAAGGCAGACTAGAGAGAGATTCAGGGAATGTGTGGGCCACTCCTGGCTTCTCATTTTCTAGATCTTAGGGCTATAGCTGGGTCACCAAACTCTGACTCATGGTCAGAAAATGAACTTAACTCCTACCAAAACTGTTGAGAAAATACTTCCTTTAATGGTTATTTTTAAACCCTGCTCTTTTAGGCTTTATTATTGAGTAATGAATAAGCCAGAAACCCTTCTTCTAAGACTCATTAGCTCTTACTGTAAGCCCCATTGTGGTCAGGGCTGTGATTTATACAGTTGTTTTTTTTTTTTCTCAGCTTCTCACTTTAATTCAGTAACTTACTTTCTAATAATAGATGCAAAAGAATTAACAACATACCATGAATGCCTTTGATTGACTAGATAATCAACTGATTATTCAAAGTAAGCAATTTGATCCTCTTTGTAGTGACTTTGGGATAGAAGTTTGTCTCACAGTTCCTATGAGAGTAAGAATACACCCACCAATCCCAAGGAGTGTGGGGCTAAGCATTTCGTTGAGGTTTGGGTTCAGCCACAAAACAGCAGGTAGGACGCTTACTTGTTCACTACATTTGCAAAATGAAGGGGGAAAACACATTGGAAACAAAATGGAGTTAAGGTGGATAATGACCACACATGAAAACAAATCTTTCTCCTTGGGTCATGTGGATTAAGAGTCATGTCAGATTGGTACAACTCGGAAGCAATGGAAGCATGCAAATACGGTTTTGCCTTGTTTTATCCTTGGGGCTCTATGCCAGGTGCTAGGAGCACACAAGGTACCAGGGGCTTCTTGCTCTCACAGGTCTTAAGGTCCAGTGGTTGTGTTGTGAGTTACAGAGGGTAGACTTCCTCACAACCTGCAGACCTGCGTGGCTTCCCAGAGAGGCTTCAAGAGGCTTCACAGCATCATCTCACTGATGCCCAGATATGGTCCTTATATTTAGACTTATTAAAAGCAGTTGGCAGAGGGAATAATTTGGGATGGGTGAAAGGGAAGTCTCCCTCTGATGATTCAGGGACAACAACAAAGACATTGCTCTGGTTCAGGAAGGTTTAGCCCGGCTTTTGAAAAAAAACAATGGGACTGGTCATCAAAAAATTAGTCAGACTGGGAAAATCCTACTCTGCGGGGAAAATGAAAACATTTCATCTGTCCCTAAAACACTAAACACTGAGCCACTTATAAAATAAATGCAAGCTGGGCAGTGGTGGCGCACGCCTTTAATCCCAGCACTCGGGAGGCAGAGGCAGGCGGATCTCTGTGAGTTCAAGGCCAGCCTGGTCTACAAGAGCTAGTTCCAGGACAGGAACCAAAAGCTACGGAGAAACTCTGTCTTGAAAAATCAAATAAATAAATGCAATAATAAATATGTGTGTCAGGGTGTAAATAAGCTACATGGTTTCTCTTCAGCAGAATATTACACAGCCATGTAAATACTTCTGAGTTGAATGGTACTCATACATGCTTGGGATATGAGAGTAAGAAGAAATAGCATAGGAAATCATTAATTTATGATACATAACAGTATTTCAGACATCAGATTTGTTCATTGAGAAAGAAACTATTGGTACATGTAGACGTTAACTATTTGTTTCTATAGCGGTGGTTCTCAACCTTCCTAATGCTGTGACCCTTAATGCAGTTCCTCGTGTGATCCCCAACCATAAAATTATCTTCATTACTACTTCATAACTGTAGTTTTGCTACTGTTATGAATTATAATGTAAATATCTGATATGCAGGGTATCTGATATTTGGCCCCTATGTGGGTCACAACCCACAGGTTGAGAACCACTCTTCTAGAGAGTTAACGTAAACTTCCTTTTGCAATGCTAGGTTAGTTAGTTTAATGGCAACATGACACAAGTCAGAGTCAATTTGTTTTTGTTTTTTTAAAATAGATTTCTTTTTGAGGGGGGGGTCCTCTCTCTAGATACCTGAATATCCTGGAACTGACTATTTAGATAGACCAGGCTGGTCTTGAACTCACAGAGATCCACCTGTCTCTGCCTCCCAAGTGTTGGGATTAAAGGTGTGCACCATTATGCCCAGCTATACCAGAGTAATTTTGGAAGAGGAAACCTCAATTGAGAAAATGTCCCCACCAGACTGGCCTACAGGTAAGCCTGCAGTGTGTTTTCTAGACTGGTGGTTGATGTGGCAGGGCCCCCTCACTGTGTGCCACCCTTGGGCTGGTGGTCTTGGGTGCTATAAGAAAGGAAGTTAAACAAGCCTTGTGGAGCAAATTAGAAGACTCATTCCTCTGTGGTCTTTGCTAGTTCCTACCTCCAGGTTCCCGCCCTGCTTGAGTTCCTGTCCTGACTTTCCTGATGGGAGCTACAAGCTGAAACAACCCCTTTCCTCCCTAGGTTGCTTTTGATCATGATGTTTTATCACAGCAATAGAAACCCTAACTAAGACAAATACTTACCTGAAGTCCTATGATTTCTATTAGAAAATTTACTTTTGTCACAGAAATCAGTCAATTCCATCACTCAGCTAGATACTTGAAGTATCAAGTATCAAGGGCTTGTCTTTTAATAGATGGCATGCACACATGGTTTTACAAGGAGCTCTCCGAGACTGGAGATGTTCTAGTGTTCACTGTTGTGCTAAAGAAGGGGATGGTGTCACAGGTCAAGCTAGTGAGCTAGGCTAGGACTCCTCCCTCCTGCGCAGGCTCAGTATACACGTCTCTGGTGTTCAGGAAATGGGCACAAGCTAGGCCATCACTGAGCTGCTCTGATCTTTGAGGGGGAAGAAGGGAACTGGAAATGGATGGGGTGTCGCATAGATATTTTCTTCCAAAGAAGAGCATTAGCCTCCAACCCAAAGAGAGGACAACTGGACAAAGCTTATCCTTTAAAAGAAAGTTTTTAAAAAAAAGCAATTCAGTCACCTCATTCCAGACCGGGTTGAGTTCATTATCAACTTTCTTGGTTTTCTTCTTCTCATCTACAAACACAAAAAAAGCAAGAGATTCAATCAACTAGAAATAATTCAAGGTCATGTAGCATCTAGTTGACGCCCCTAAAAACCATTCTTCCGAGCCTCTCATGCCACCGTTTACCCCTTTGTCTGGCAGCTGTGGGGAGCACCTGAGTCAATTTCCAAAGACTAAGGATTCAGCTCCACCTCTCTCAGTCAGGCCTCCCAACTGGCGTTTCCACTTTGCTGTGGAAAGAACCCAAGGGGACTGACCTTTGAGACACGGGGATGGCCATTTTACAGATGAACACACTGAGGATGGGATGTGATACAATGAGCTCACAGTTGGCAGTGGGGCCTGAGATTTCAACCCTGAAGCCTGGTTGCTCCAAAGGTGGTAAGACAACATCATGGCTTAGCAGTTAAACTGGGCTCCCTCCCAAAGCCTCATCCACACACTCACCCAGAAAGCAGTTCTGTCGACGACCAGTGGAGGACTTGGAGGTTCCCTTCGTTACTGGACCACCTTTTGAGACCTAAGATCGTTTTTCTCTATGTCTGTGCCTTAATGAGAAAATGGGTGAATCTAGCCTCGAGTTTTCTTAGGGCTCCTGTGTCTGTCCTCCAAAACTTACCAAGATAAATGCTTGCCTCTGAGTACCATATGCATTAAAAGCATCATCTCATCTCCTTGGGAACAGTTTTTTTATTATTACCTTTGTCATACCTCCCTTCACAGCAAGGCAAATGAGGCCTATTACATATTCAAAGTCACCCAGTCACTAAGTGGTATGGTTCTGATTTGAACCTAGGCAGGGCGCGTTGGCAGCCACACTTTGAAGTCACGCCTAACCATTGCTTTTGCCCCGTTGCTGAGGAATGTGGGGGCGGTGGGTTCTGTTCAGCCACTTGCCACATCACTTCTGCTCCCAGCACACAGCCGGCTGAGGGCCTAACCATGTCGTTCTTCCAAGACCTCAGCATAGCAATACTGTGAGTCAGGAACCTCACTCTGCTAAACATTAACTTTTCCGCTTGAGTGGGCCTCACATGGTCCAGCTGGCTTTCTTTCCTAAGCTTCCCTCCCAGAGGAAGAAAAATCGTGGCAGAAATGACCAGCCAGCTCAGGCCACGGCACCTCACAGCGACGATTCTGCAATGAGGTCTCCCACAGACATTAATCCACTCCTTTGTTCCTCCACCCAGCAAATTGACTTTTTTTTTTTAAATAGCACTTGCCAGGTGTTGAACTGGACCTGAGGGTGGCCTACTGGGGGTGTGCCCAGAGGTCACTGAGGAGGGCAGGATGATTTCAGTTGCCATCCAAGGGCTACGGAAAAGGAAAATTCAGAGGAAGAAAGGTGATGTCAGCCACGGTTGGCTGGAAGCAAAGGAGATTGGGGCTGTATAGAAAGGTTCTAGCCAGACACAATGTGAGCCTTAAATTCCACGCTGTTTCATTTGACTGATACAAGCGATAAAGGAAAGAGGATTTTAGAATCGAGCCTTAAGGACTTCCAGAAGTTCACAATCCAAGGAGGAAAACCAAGTTATCCCCCCAAAACGTCTGACACGTGGCGCTGAGCACATGACCCAGGCAGATGCTAAGAACAATGGCTATTCAGGGAAGCTTAGCAGAAGCTGGCTGACCACAGGCCAGGTGGAGCTATTCACCTGGAACTTCCAGTAGATTCCAGGCTGGTTACGTGACAGACATACTAAAAGCGTTGCCTTGGGGGTGGAGACAGGAGGCTCAGTGAGAGCCAGGTATTGCTGAGCTTCTATAGGCTCCTTTCACGAACTTTACCCAAGATCACAGAGCTAGGAAGAAGGCCTCTAGCCAGGCCTAATCTGAGTCCCCCCCCCCCCAAAAAAAATTCTTATCAGTAGCCACAGGCAGGTATTTATTCTATTCAGTGTATTCTGCCTCTTTTCTTCCTACCAAAGGTCAGAGTGGCTGACTCTGGACGTCAGATTAAATGGCCGGAAATGCCCTCTCCCGTCTCCCCATCACCTCGTCGGTGGGCTGCCACCTCTGCAGTTAGTAAGATAACGGTTCCTTCCTTTGGAAAGGAACTGAGCACTTTCATGGCAGAACAAAACAACAGACGCAAAAGCAGAACACTCTGGATCACGGCTACAGGAATTCTTCAGGACGCTTCCTGTGTTCTGATTAGTGGAGCCTGCCTCCGACTCAGCCCTGGAAAGCTGACGCGGTCTGCCAGCCTCCGTGCCAGAGACCCAGACACCCCTGTCTGTTTCCACAGGATAATTCCTTTGCTGGCCACTCGCTCTTTGCACTGTGTCAGACCCTGTGATGGTTAACTCAACTTGACACAGCCAGGAATCACCCGGGAAGAGTCTCAAGGGAATGTGTATATTGGCTTGAGCTGTGGGTGTGCCTGTGTGTGAATTAAATTCACTGATATGGGAAGATCAAGACGTCTGGAAGTTTTCCCTAAGTACGAGGTCCTGAAGTGTATAGAGTAGAGAAAGTAAGCAAGCCAGCAGCATTCACTTCTTGAGGCCTTTGACCGTGGATGCGTTATGACTAGCTGCTTCAAGTTCCTGTCGCCATACTTAACAATGGACAGCAACCTGGAGCCGCAATCTATGACACACCCTTTCTCCTCTGTGTAGAGTTTGTCAGGCTATTTTATCAGGGCCACAGGAATGAATCCAGGCCAAACCCTGCAGACGAGGCCTGAGAGAGAACTCGAGGCTGACCAGCCTGCTCCAGCGTGCAGAGGCCAGCCGGGATGCACAGGTAGAGTTGATATTTTACGATCGGTTGAGTCAGAACAGAGATTTGCTCTCTCTATTGGTTACTTTTTTGTGGCTGTGACAAAAGCAACGGAAAAGTTCATTTTGGTATACAGTCCAGAGACAGTCTATCACAGCAGCCGGAGCTAGAAGGGGTTGGTCACACTGCTCCTGCCGTCGGGAGGCAGAGAGAAATGGACACTGGTGCTTGGCTCCTGTTTCTTTATATTCATTCTGGAGCCTCAGCCCTGGAAAGACAGCTCATCAGTTAAGAGCGCTGACTGCTCTTGCAGAGAACCTGAGCTTCATTCTCAGCGCCCAAGTCAGACAGCGCACAACCGTAAGGAACTCCGGTTCTCAGGGGACCTAACACCTCTAGCCTCAGCAGGCACTCGCATTCATGTATAGACACAGACACACACACACATGCACACATGCACACACAGAGATGCATACAAATAATGAAAATAAATCTTAAAGAATATGAGTCCTGGACGGGAGGTTGGGGAGGAGGCTGGGAGGAGTGGAGGGAGGGGAGAATGCACTTAGTATGTATTTTATGAGAGAAGAATAATTTTTTGTTGTTGTTTTTCAAGACAGGGTTTCTCTATAGCTTTGGAGCCTGTTCTGGAACTCTTTCTGTAGACCAGGCTGCCCTTGAACTCACAGACCTCCACCTGTTTTTGCCTCCGGAGTGCTGGGATTAAAGGCCTACACCACCACCACCTGGCCGAGGAGAATAAACTTTTTTAAAAGAAGGAAAAAAATAACTCTTAAAAATACCTTTTAAAGAAAAGAATAGGCCTCCTTGAAGGTCACAACTATACTGTATTAACATTGTTATGCAGGTGCCCACAGAGGGCTTGTTAGTGAGTAGCTTCTCCATGGTTTGTGTGATTGAACTTCTCAGGTGTGCCTAAGTGTCATGAGTAGTGTTGCCTTAGTGATTAAAAGAGAGCATGAATAGCAAGTCTACAGTGCTGACTCTCAGCTTTGAGCAAACAGCAGCCATTAGTGTTTCTCATTAAGATACTAGGGCAGCACCCCATTTTGCCTTACCTAGGACATCCCCAGGCCCCAGAGCCCCAGGGAACAGGAAGTGCTCAGTGAAGCAAGGGACAGCCCTAGTAGAATAACTCCTTCATGGCTCCATTTCAGATCTCAGTGACCACCTAGGGCAACTGGTACATGGGCAGTGACCGTCCTGATTGTCAGTCAGCCTGGCAACCACAAGGATGAGGCAATTCCACAAGAACCAGGGGCCAGAGCTGTCTGTAGTGGGGCACGGGAGAGTTCTCAGTCCCCAGGAGTTAAAGGCAGTCCTCTCAAGCCCCCGGGGGAACTCGCTAGAGGCATGCCTGACTTTTTCATCCCAACCCTGGCTGCTCCAGTGCTTCAGAAAGATGTTGCCAAACGAATTCAAGGAAAACACTTTGGGGCCATACCGCAACCGCTACACGAAGAGAAGGAGCTTTGAGCATTTCTGAGACAGCTGATAACACAGACACGGGAACACCCTGGGCCAAAGCAGCCTGGGTTCCTGCTCCTGCGTCTGCAGCCCAATGCCCCATGAGCCTCTGAGATGGCCTTTTGGGTTGTGAGCTCCAGAATAAAACGCTAGACTTGCAGTGAACCCTGGCCATCTGAAAGACTCACAAAAGCCCCGTCTTAAAGCCCACTTGGGGAATGGTATCCAGCCCCACTGGTAGTAGGCTGATTTTACATGTGAGCCTCCACTCTGTGGGGCACTTGACACCCATGCCTAACCTTACTACCAGGGTACTAGAGTGCCCATTTTATAGATGAAGGAACAAAAGCAGGAGACGTTAATTAATTTGCCCCAGGCTTCCTACAGGGAAAAGGGCAGGATAGTCTTCTGCCCCAAATCAGCTTCACTTCTATGCCTGCACACTGAGATGCCCCTGTAGGCTGAGGAACCCAGCAACCCGTGTCTTTCTCAGGACTTCCCATCCATATGAGCTGCTTCCTGCTACTCTATCTAGTTGTCTCCACTAGTGAGCCTTGGTATCTAATATTCAGGAGAACCAGCTTCCTCGTGTAGGATTTATAATTTGCTAGACACCTGTAGGGTGTAAGAGGTCACCTGTTCTTTTTTTAAGTTTAATTTTAATGTTTGAGACAGGGTCTCACATATCCCAGACTGGCCACAAACTTGATACATAGTTTGCCTGCCTCAGCCTACGTTCTGGGATTACATACATATATGCCTTTATGCAGAACTTGAACCCAGGGCTTTCTGTATG